TCAAGAAAAATTAGTGTAGTGAAAGCTAGGATCTTAGAGGAGAAGTATGTTAGCTTTCTGTTATTGAGACAGGATACCTGAAAAATCAATTTAGAAAGAGGAAAGACATTTTGGTTCATGATTTCAGAGGTTTCCATCCATGGTCACTTGGCTTCCTTGGTTTGGGGCCTTTGGTGAGGCAGATCATGGTGGGGAGCACCCGGTAGAGCAAAGCTGCTCACCTTAGGTTGACTGGAAAGCAGAGAAGGAGGTGTGAGACACCAGGATCCTGGTATTCCCTTCAAAGGCAGGGCACCCAGGGACAGGGCTTTCTTCCTATAGGCCTCACCTTGTAAAGGTTCCACTGTGTCCTAACAACACCACACGCTGCTGACCAAGCCCTCAACCCATGGCCTTTGGGGGACGTTTAGTATCCAAACTCCAAACCACAACAAGAAGTTGGCAGACACCAAGAATATTCTAAAAGAAGGTTAAGCTAGGTGTGGTGGTACCTGCCTATATTCTAGCACTCGGGCAGCCCAGGGCAGAAAGATTACAATATTGATCCCAGCCTGGGACTTAACGAGACTCCATGTCAACATTAAAATTTAAAAAGGACTAGGGATTAGGTCAATGTGAAGGCCTTGGGTTCGCTCCCCAGTACCGCACATGCACATACATACACGTGCGCACACACGCAAAGGAGGAAGCTGTTATCTAGTGTGTGAAAGCTGTGGTCCTTATCAAACAGGTTTAGCATCTGCTACTTAATATTTAGAAACCCTAGTTGCCTTTGTATATAAAGTTTTGAAAAATTGATGTTTCTCTTTGTCTGTAGTTACAACATCTGTTAGTTGTAATAGTTTATTTAAGGACAGGAATAAGTCCTCTTAAGTAGTTTCTCCTAAATCAGCCTGGAGACATTTGAAGAGTTCTTCCAACATCAAACTGAAAATAGCATAATGTGTCTTCCCTGATTAACACATTCCTGGCAATTTGAACTACCAATGGTACATCCGGGTAGCATGGGGCAGAACAAGCCACCCAAGGGGCCAGTCATGTATGCATACCCCATTGTGAATGTGTTAAAACCATCCTTATGGTTAGCAAATAACGACCTGAGATTTTAAATGTAACTCCCCTGGGACACATCAGAAAAAACATCATGAAAGAACACTTAAGAGTTGGGTTACATGGTGTATGCCTGTAATCCCACTTGGGAAGCTGAGGCAGGAAGAGTGCGGCAAGTTCGAGTCCAGCCTGAGCTACATGATAGTTCAAGGCAGCCCTGCCTATGTTTATAGCAGCACAATTTGTGATAGCCAGATCTTGGAAACAACCAAGATGCCTGTCACATGTGGAATGATTGAAAAAGATGTGGTACTTTTATATAATGGAGTACTAGTCAACTATAAAGAATGATAAACTTGAAGCCTTCATATTTAAGTGGATGCCCCTTGAAGATATACTTATTA